AACAATTGCTTAAGTCAAACAAGGACCTAATGAATAGTCAAAATCATTGTTTAGCTTGGATATAAGGCTTTAGGTAAATAGATGATTGCCTGAGACCAGGGGCCAGTAAAAGCAGTTCAGCAGGACGCCACGTGTTCTGTTCTTCGGACATCAGCCCAGTGGCCTCTGCTCCTCTGGGGACTGTTGTTACTGAATTATTTCTCTCCTCCCATCAGCACACTGAGGCAATGTAGCGTCAGAAGGGGCTCCTGAAAACAGGGAGAAGGAGAGAGAACTTTCTATGTTAGAAATACATACTTAAAACATTCATTTTACCCCATTGGAGTCTCAATTAAATACAATGCTCAAGATATGGAATATTTGGTTTGTTTGTATTTAACTTCTCATGTTGAAAAATTTCCAAAATGCATTGTTAGCCCACTTACAATTGTCCTGCCTCATGTCTTACTAGTATTTTTAACATGATTTAATCCTTTTTAAAAACAACTGTTTACTACACCTAAAGGCCATCATCAGGTTTACAAGTAATCGCTTCCAATACTGTCCCTGTAGTTATAGACAGAATAAATATCAAAAGGAAACTTCCGGGTAGGGGCTTTGTCGTTGGTTGTTGTTGCTGTTGATTAGTTTTGGTTTGTTTGTTTGTTTAGGTATCTTTGCTATCAACTTGCTTCATTGTTGTCTCTTTTTCCCAAAAGTGGGGCTGCATCATATAAATTCTACTTAATTAAGAGCTTGAGGAAATTAGTTGCCAGGTAATTTCAGTTCTGCTGAATAATATTTTTAATAATTGCTTTCCATTTCTTACTTGAAAATAATAGATGCCTTGTTGATCCAGAATGGGGTTTGGTTGTCTTACTCATTCAGCCTGTTTCCACTGGACGGCTATTCAAATAAACAGCATCCATCTGATTGAATCTTGAATTTGTCAAGGGGGTGGGTCCCCTGGTATTCAGTTTCCAGGAATCATGATGAATATGTATTTGGCTTATTGGCAAATAGCAATGAAAGCATACATTGGGCAATAAAAAATTAATGTTTATCTGTTTGTACAATTTTTTATCCTGATAATATAGGAGAGTGGTTAAGAACATGGGGTTTGGAGCCAGTTCTGAGTCTGAGCACAAACTCCACACTTACTAGCTCTATGGGCTCGGACAAATTATCAAAGTTCCATTGGCCTCAGTTTCCTCATCTGTAAAACAGTCTGATAATAATAACACCTACTGGGGCCGGCCCGGTGGTGCAAGCTGTTAAGTGCACGCGCTCCTCTGCGGCAGCCTAGGGTTTGCCGGTTCGGATCCCGGGCACGCACCAACGCACTGCTTGTCGAGCCATGCTGTGGTGGTATCCCACCTAAAGTAGAGGAAGATGGGCACAGATGTTAGCTCAGGGCCAGTCTTCCTCAGAAAAAAGAGGAGCATTGGCATCAGATGTTAGCTCAGGGCTGATCTTCCTCACAAAAATAATAATAATAATAATAATAATAACACCTACTTCATTGTGTGGTTGGGTAGACCATATGAGATAACAAATATAAAATGCTCAGCACAGTGTAAGTACTTAATAAATGTTAACCATCATGTTATTTTCATGTGCCTTATAATTTCCTCACAACAACTCTGTGAGGTAGGCAAAACTGCTATAATTATGCTAATTTATTTAAATATTAGAAAACTGGACCTCAAAGAGGTTATTGATTTGCCCAAGATCACCCAAGATGGCAAAATGCTGATCCTCTCAGTGTCAGGAGGGCCCCGATGCCTGGCGGATGGCTCTCCCTGGACCCATTCTGCTACGTTGCTGTCTCCCAGCAGTTTCTCTAAACCTAAAGTCTCACGTGACCATGGTCCTCCTCTGCCTTAGACTCTCAGATGGACAAACAGAATAAATTCTGGCAGAGGCTTTAAAACCCACATTGGTGTTATACAGAAGTTTTCTGGGAAAATAGTACCCTCAGAACTACAAAGTTAGGGGGAACTCTTTGGTGATACTGAAAAAAATACCTGTGAAGAAGTGACTTCGCATTGGTGAGCCTGAAACCCCCAGGAAAAGCCCAGAGGGTGGCACAAGAGGTCAGCAAGCCACAAGCCCAGCAGGCTTTGTAGAGCGAATGCTACAGTCCCATCCATGCACCGTTCTTCAAGTGTGTGTCTATCTCACTGTCATTCATAAAATATAAGTTCATTCAAAGGCAAAGCTAAACTTGTTATATCATTTTAACATGCTGTATTTTCTCAATGGCTACCAAAAGTACAACTGCTATCATGTGGGGGGTTTATGGGTTTTTTTTTTTTTTCATTTTAAAAACCAGGTGTGCACACTCCATAAGGTTAGAAACCAATGGTACTGAGGTTTAATCTTAAACCTCTATTTAAGGACTATCCCTGCTAATTATAAGCTTAAAGCACTATAAACTCAGGAGTCAACTAAAGTCAATTGATATCCACTGAGCACCTGTAGGGGGCCTGAGCCCAGGGCTGGGGCCCGAGAGTGAAGCACAGTCCTTCACGTCTTCTCTGAGCCTCTATTTTCTCACGTATAAAGTAGGGACAATAATAGTGACTCTCCTCAGAAGGCTGTTGTGAGGAGCCAATGAGATAAACACAGAAAATAAATATGCTGTGATGTTTGTGAAAATGCTTTGTCAACTCCCTAGAGAGGTATAAACAGATGGTGTTCAAGAGGACGGCTGAGGAAATGCCTTCACTCTTCCCAGTGGCTTTCCTCTAACCATCGACCATCCACCCCTGTGAGCTGAGCAAATGCTAATAGCACTCCCTTCTTCGATGTCAGATTGTATTCACTTTTGTGTGTGTGTGTGTGAGGAAGATCAGCCCTGAGCTAACATCCGTGCCAATCCTCCTCTTTTTGCTGAGGAAGACTGTCCCTGGGCTAACATCTGTGCCTATCTTCCTCCACTTTATATGGGACCCCACCACAGCAGGCCTGACAAATGGTATGTCTGTGCGCGCCTGGGATCCGAACCCGGGCTGCCAGCAGCAGAGCGCGAGCACTTAATTGCTACGCCATGGGGATGGCACCAGATTATATTCACATTTTTAAATGTAGTTTTCCATCTCGTCCCTTCTCCTCCTACTTCACTTTGTTCCATAAATTGCAAGATTCTTTAATATCAGCATGGCACTACAGTATCAGATTCTACAAAGCATTAAATAAGGCACTGATATAAAATTCAAGAAGATCCAAGCCCAAGGGCTCACAGCCTACAGTTTATAAACCCAAATCCACACAAGGCCCATCTGAGAAGGATACTTTAGACATTGTAGGGGAGGGAGACAATTCCTTTACCCACTCTAGGTCCTTCCAGCTGGGCTACAAATTAAATTGACATGAGACAGAATAACAGGAGAAAAATCAAGCAAGTTTAATAACATGTATACATGAGAGAAATCCAGGAATACTGAGCAACTCGGCCATCTGGCCAAAGCTGCCCCCTTAAATATCTTCAGCTAAAGACAAGGAGGATATTGGGGGCAGTGGTTTGGGATTTCAGAGGGGAGGAAGACAATTTACATGTAGATGGAAATGCAAATGTTTGTTAAACAAGTTTTGCTGGGCCAAAAATGGGCTTGTTGGTGCCCTTCTTATCACACCTATTTTACATTATACTGTAGCTATCTTATGGTATTAGCTCATTCCTGGAACAGGCCTTCTATCTTCAATTCTTTTAGGCAGTTTGGGAAAAGGTCAAATGCTTTTCCTGAGTCTTCTGAGACTTCATTGTCTTCAGCTCAAAATAATCCACATACCAGAGTGGTGCATCTCGGGGCGGCCTGCCCTCAGCCCCATCAGCACTGTCAGTCACTTGGGTTACAGCTGATGCAGCTCTCACCAGGTCCTGGCTGACTCTGGAAGGGAGTAAGGGAGGAGAGAAGACCTTTCCTCTCTCTGCTCATAGGCTGAGGTCACCTCAGGGCTGGGAAAGAGCGGTTTATGGAAGTGGACCCATTATTCCTGGAACTGAAACATTCCCTGATTCGGTTCTTCCAGAAATATATTAGCTCTCATGTATTTTTACTTCTTCTCAGATTCCATATAATATGTACTAACTGGCGAATCTGGTCTTTATATCTATTCTTGTCAGCAGAGGAGACTTGCTTAGAGTCTGCTAAGTACCAGACAGCACACAAAGCGCTAGGGAGAAATGCAAAGTGTATAATACGCATGATCCCCACTTTGCAGGAGGAAGAAAGAAGTAAAACCAGCATTGATTGCCAGGCAGTGAGTGTTATTTTTGATTCTCCAACCAACGACACCTTGAAGTCAGGCACCTGAGGTTTACCCAAGGTCTGCCTCATTCCAAAGTCCATGCTCTTTCCACTCTGCTTCATCACCCACCTTGATCAGATAGGCAGGATACCAAAAAGGAAAGTAAACGCAGACATTAAAGGAAACCATCAAACAAGTACTAGAAACTCTGCACACTACCACATGTACAAGGGCAGCAGTGTGTCTGAAGTGCCTGGAACTCTGCTGGCCTTCATCTGAGCATATTCTAGAGCAGACCAAGGACACAACTTGGGGAGCAAGGAAGGTAGATGACAGTCAGAAAATGATTGTGCTGGAACCAAGAGAAATGACGCCGTGGGTAATTAAAACTTCCAATAAGAATGCAAGCTATAATCCCAGGACACCATTTGTCCTTCCAGATTAAGATGCTTCATCTTGGTGGCCCTAGGAAGCATAAAAGACTATGGAAACTTTGTAAATTAGTGAAATTATCAGACCCATCTTCCAGGCAAATGTAAAAGAGAGCGCTGCTTCGTTTGTTTGAGTATTGCCAAGTTCATTCCACTCGCCTTTTATTGACTGTCCTTCCCACATAGCGCCCTCTTAAGCAAGGTAAATGGAAACCGTTTTTCTCCTGACGTTTGGTGTTGGTGCCTGTGAGGTAAGCAGACAAGACAGTTTGCAGAGGAAAAGTGAATACACCTGGTGATGTTTTCAAACATGTGTTTGGCTTTTCTGTTTTCCAGGAGATGTGCGACTGAGGGGTCAGACGGGGGTTCCTGCCGAACGCCGCGGCTCCTACCCATTCATTGACTTCCGCCTCCTCAACAGTGAGTACTCAAGTGTACCTGGAGAGGAGCAAATGTTTGCTTAAAAAAGCTCTTGCTTCCCTCTGAGCTTCGGAACCCTGGGTCTGCCTTCCTTCCTCCATCTGTCCCTCCCACGGGGACTTAACCCTGTGTCTGCAGAATTCCTCGCTCGTGAAGTACTTCTGGCCCTGCCCTACCTCTTCGAGCTTTAGTGAGGGTCCAAGGAGATTATGTCAGCTTTAAAAATGTCCATCTTAAGGACTATGAAGCCCTGCACAAGGAAGCTATTCCTTTCTTATCCAGCACATTCTCTCCACCTTCAGCCAGGACTTGACTACATGAGATTCTATTTTATTTTTAAAACCCCATGGGGAAACTTAATCTGCAGCTGCCCTTGGTAATATCTATTTCTAAATCTCCCTTCTTTGTCTAATCTGAGTCCCTGAGGTCCGTTCTTGCATTCCTGGTAAAACTCGTCGCCGTCGCCCTTTAGTCTGCACTTGCTGCTTCCTCCATTACGACCCCCTCGGAAGTTCACTCTTTCTGCCTTTCCCCTTCATACACTACTCATTTGGAGTTTTGCTCAATCTCTGGTTCACAATTCTCTTAATCTCAAGTTTCCCAAACCAGTGACCAGTCACCCCACCAGATTTCATGTCCTCTAACTACCATGATCACCCTTCACTTTGGACTTGGGGGAGGGGAGAAAGTGGATAAATCTCACAATTTGCTCCAAGGTTTTCAGCATTTGGTTCTCACATCCCTATAAATTTCAAAGAGCTGGGCTGCACCCACAGAGTATTACTTTCCCTCAGCATAAACCAGATCAGCTAAAGAGGTAATTTGATTTACCTCGTCGCCTGGAAATTACTAGGAGAAATTAGAACTTGCTATTTCTGATCCTTAGATCCTCAAAAGGCCCATAGGGGATGGACGTGTTTATATTTCTCCTGGCTTGTTAACCTCCCATATCAATGTGCAATGTCTGTTTTCTCAGCTATTTCAGGGACGCAGAGACTCGGAGTAACTCTTTCCATACTAGAGACAACCTCCCCCACTCAGCCCACCAAAAACACCTTTTAGAGGAGAGAATTGAGTTGCTAGACCAATGCCATATTGAATACAGCCTGTGGGGAGCTCTCCTGATGCCCCTGGATGGGCTGTTCCAGCTATGCCTGGAAGTTAGCCCTCTGACAGTCTCTAGACTGTGTGGATTTCCAGTCCCAGATGCACGGTTCCACCAGGCAGGATGGGGATGAGCAAGGGTTCAGGTAGTTCACCGTCTCCTAAGGCAGAGGGTCGTGAGCAATAGGCAGGGTGGAATGGCGGTGCAGAGCAGAGGGCCCCCAGGCGGGGAAGGAGGCTGGGGGAGTCCAACGGCATCACATGCTGAGCATCACAGAGAGAAAATAACCAAAAAGCCTCTTTTCAATAGTAGATGAGACGTCATATCACGGTTTCCAATATAAGACATGAACAAAGTAGGAAAATAGGAGATATTTCGCCATGATTCCTAGGTTCCAAGTGATAAAATCTCTTTTCTAATTTATCCTGGTGTTCATAAGCAACATCAGCTATCAATGGTGGTGATCTTTGTAGGTGGAATTATGGAATCTTTAACTATCTACATCATAGGTCTCTGTAACACTTGGATGTTTTTTTTTCCATTAGCTTGTTTTACTTTTGTTAGATTAAAAAAACCTGAAAAATAAAAATGTAAACAGGAACTCAATACAGATGATAGTTCACTGTTGTATTGTTCACTGTGTAACAGATCATGTACAAGCAGGTACCATCCTGTCACCCCCGTGCTGTAGCCCCTCCCGGAGCTGCCTGGAGCCTGGACTCCCCCAGCCTCCTCCCCCGCCCAGGGGGCCCTCTGCCCCGCACCCCCATTTCGCCCCGCCCGTTGCTCACGACCCTCCACCTGTCGAGAGCCAGTGTTGGCCACCCACCCTGAGTTCCCCTTCCCCCTGCCCGGCACCCCGCTCTGGAGAACTCTTTCACTCATGCTTCTTTATCAGTAACACATGCTAAGGCAATATTCACTGACCTTCATTGTATTTTGCTTTATAAGTGGTCTCAAATTTTTTTTTCCTAGCTGTAGAAAACACACCCGTAAATAGACTACAAGACCCTAAAGGACAGGCTCTTTATGGTTACTGACCTCTCCGTAACTACTGTCACCAATTAGATTAAAGAGTTCCCTCAAAAAGATTATATTAGGGTCCAGCCCGTTGCTGAGTGGTTAAGTTCTGCGCGCTCTGCTTTGGTGGCCCAGGTTTGCAGGTTTGGACCCGGGTGTGGACCTGCTCCACTCACCAGCCGTGCTGTGGTGACGACCCACATACAAAACAGAGGAAGATTGGCGCAGATGTAGCTCAGGGGAAAATCTTCCTCAGGAAAATAAATAAATAAAAACAAAAAGGATTCTATTAAATAACTATAAATGTCAATCATCCCCCTATGTCTGACTGAGCAGCTCAGATAGGACTGAAGCCCTCTGAGATTCTTCCTTATTTGTAGTACTACCCATTCCATTGTCTACTGCCCCGTATGCCTTGTTAGTGAGCTGAAACTAGGACCAATAATGTTCCTGTGGCCACTCTTCACAATTTCCTGATTTAGTCTGCAATTAAAGCAGCGTGTGACCAGGCAGCGGCAGGTGTGTGGGTACCTGTGTTATGTCCAGTCACTGAAGATACAGTGTATCGTCACACCTCCTACTACTTTGTGTGGAGTCTCCTTCATTCTCTTCAATCTCTTTCCTCCTCTTGTTGGGGTTTGCCTGAGCTGTCAGTGTGGTCTTTCCGCTGAAAGGGAAACATTTTAAAAATAATTTTATAAAACTTTAAGAGTGAATCCCTAAGGAACATGTTGGGACTTTCTCCTAAAATTTTATTTTTACCAGCTGATTCCATTTCTACACAATAAGTATCAGACTAGTTTAAAGTGATTTTTTATGTCATTCACCTTAATTTCTAGTCAGTTTTTTCCAAGTATGGGCAGAGACCTAAGACTTCATTTTCCTCAGGTGTTGTAGTTTTGCTCTGTCTCCCAAGGTAGACTCTCATCTTAGGCTTTTTTGAAAAAAACCATTTATAAGAAAAACTGAATCACCAGAGCCTCTATTCCCTGTGCCTTCTTTCTAAATTACCCAGTGAAACCACGGGGCTGGGTTCCTGGCAGAGTGTCCCTGGACGTCTGCCCTCGACCACCCCCTCCACACATGGTCTCAATGGCTGGAACATGCACACCAAAAACAGACGGTACACGGTAAGGCCCACAGCACTTCTCCATTGGCCCCATTCTTCGTTGCCCCAACCTGTCATAGGAGGACAGGTGACGTCAGAATTAATATCTAAAATAATCAGATTATTTTCTCCTATCAGAACAAAGTTTCTAGATAGTAAAACAGGTAACTAGAACAGGGTGGGCAAATGACAGCTGATGCACCAAACCTGCCAGTTTTGTCAACAAGATTTTATTGGGACACAGCCGTGCCCATTTGTCTGTATGCCTCTACAGCTAAGTACATCCTACAGTGGCAGAGGAGTTGCAGCAAAGACCATAGGGCCCACAAAGCCAAAAGTAGTTATATATGGCCCTTTACAGAAAAAAGTTACCAACCCCTAAGTTAGATTTTTAAACAGAGTTAAAAGGGCTTTATGACATCTCCATAAGCGCATTCAATCCAGTCTATTTTTTTTGTTGTTAATGTCATTTTTTTCTTTTCAATTCCCACTGCCATCACTTTACTTTCAAGAAAGGGCTCACGTTGACTAAATTTACATGAGACAGAAGTATGAACAGAAAGAGAACCTCTCTTGATGATCCAGATTTTAAATTCCACAATTATGATTTTAATTTCACAAATATTCTTCTGGAAGAGGTGTCCCTTTCCCCATATTTTTGAGGGCACAGTACTACCATGCCTATGTACTTGTTGTCTACATATAAGGGGACAATATATACCTGGTACACCTGGCAAGATCCTGGTTTGCACCTGTTGTCCAGGCATACTTATTAATAATGCCATCTCTCACTCCCAAAGTATCCTGGTTTGGACAATAAATTATAAGGCCAATGGATTATATGGGTTTCCCCACAAAAGAGTACTCGAAGACACCACCTCTCAAATGTCACATGCAATCCAGGAATAAAGACCAGAAAATTCTCCTCATGAGAGATCCATCCAGATCCATCCATCTCTCCACTGAGAAATATGTAAGATAAAGTTACTTAACAGCCCGTTTCATTTCCCGTTTATATTTTATACAATTTAGAAATGAGGCATATATATGAATTTTTAGAAGCGTCTCTGGATGAGTAGAAGGAAACTGTGGATTCAGCACCATTTTGTGGGACATAGGAATCACAGACATTCAAAGATGAGAGTTATTTTTACACCTGAGCGTGGAGGGGCGGAACAGAGTGAGAGAAAAAGATAATTATTTTTATTTACATGAGGTACTAAGGCAGAGACCTCATGTGGGCAGGAGGGATGGAAATGTAACGGCTCCATTATCCCAATGCCCATTTCCTATAGATTTATTTCATTGACTGACTCTGTTTGCGGGGAAAGAGGAGAGGAGAAAAGCGTTCCGAGGCGTGTGGCCGCAGAGGTGAGTGTCGCAGCTGCAGTTACAGCTTTCTGCAGAGCAGGTGGCTGCAGAGGCCCTTCCACATCTCTGTCTTCAGGTTTAATGTAATCAGTAGCCTGAGTAGATAATGACTAGGTAGAGATGTTCCCGTGGCAACCACTTCAGAGCAACACAATGTGATTCCACCCTGGCTCAGCAAAGGGAGCAACATACAAAGCAAACACTCCCCTGACTATGGAGCTGGAGGGAACGAAGCCGCTTCCGCCAGAGGGTTTAGGGCACCAGCTATCAGGGGCCACAGAGAGCCTGGAGCTCCAGAGCAGCCCTGGGCTTTGCAGTAGTAGGTTAATTGGCTATTTGGCTTTTCCCCGTCGGTTAATTTGCTAATGTTGATCTTTCAAGTCCTGTTCCTCCACA